GTACTGTATTGTAAATAAGTGGGCATCTGCTGCTTCTCCCTGGGTTTGAAGGGGGGTAGAAGTTTCTCAGCCCCCCCCTCCTTCCTTTCTGTTGCACAACTGGGGAGCATGGGGCATCGTGGCCCTGTGCCACAGCGTAGGAAGCGGGCATAGGCAGGGACTGTAGCAAGTAGCAACACACTCCCAGCTGTCAGGCTGCTTGGGAAGGGCTGTGCGCTTTTGGACTCGTGCCTGTAGCACTCACAAGTGGGAGACTTTCCGAGGAGGGAGTGTAAAGAGGAGAGGGGGGTTGCAAGCGTGATTTGCAGCCTGCACGAATGTGCAAAAGGCTGTTGATCCTGCAGCGGTAGCTTAGTCTTCCTTCCTGACTTGGAAGGAGTTGGACTAGAGGGGAGGATGTAACCGTGCAGGGTCTGAGGTGCGGCGGAGTGCAGCATGGCTGGTAAGAGAGGGAAAAGTCCATATTGTGTCATGTTCCTGCTTCACGTGCATCCAGGGAGAGCTGGTTTGCCTTGAAGTGTCAAGTTAATAACGTGGGTTGTGAAACCCTCAATGAGCCTGTCTGTGGAACCTGTTGGAGCCCTTTTCAAGGGCATTTGAACATGTTCTGCTTGCAGCGAAATCTTGTAAAGGAGGTAGCGATGCCAGTTTGTATTGTCCGTTTGGGAGTTCTGCAAAGTTTGGGTCTCCAGGATGCTCGATGTCGGAGCCCAGGTTAGGGTGATCTAGGTGAGTGTCAGAAGTGGGGCTGCAACCTATAGGAGCCAGATTACAATCATTGTTTAATGGGTCTGTTCCCTGCAGGCCATGGAGGCTTGAACACAGCCCGGCAGCAAATGCTCTTTGTCCAGCATGAGGGCACAGTTTGATTAACTGGTCTCGGTGGCAAAGTGCTAGCTCAGCCCCTCTGGAGGACGATAAAAGCTAACCATGTGGCCGTGTGCATTTAGTTCTGACTTAATGTTTATGCATGTATGTGCCCGTCTAGACAGGTCGCTGACTTCTGACAGGGCTGTTAATAATCCAGCAAGATGGTTATGATGATTAAATCCTGTTTGTGTTCTGGTGTGCTGCAGTGCAAATTAGCCTGTTTTCAGGAAAGATGTGGAGAAATTGGGGAAGGTCCAGAGAAGAGCAACAAAAATGATTCAAGGCCTAGAAAGCATGATTTATGAGGGAAGACTGAAAGAACTGGGCTTGTTTAGTGTGGAAAAGAGAAGACGGAAAGGAACCATAACCGCTTTTAAGTACCTAAAAGGGTGTTAACAAGGAGGAGGGAGAAAAATTATTCTCCTTAACCTCTGGTGATAGGACAAGACACAAGAGTTCAAAAAGAGCTAGATAGATTCATGGAGTTTGGGTCCATCAATAGCTATTAGCCAGGATGGGTAGGAATGGTGTCTTTAGTCTCTGTTTGTCTGGATATGGGTGACAGGAGAGGGATCACTTGAGGATTTCCTGTTGTGTTCCCTCCCTCTGAGGCTTCTCAACCCTTTTTTTAAAAAATATATATATAAGTACCCAAAAAAAAAAAAAAAAGTCCCGCCAGTACCTACAGTTTTCAGACACACACAAATTTTTTCTACCGTTTCAACACATTGGCTTAAACAACATAATCGTAGCCATGCGGGCGATGACATTTTTGGGTATAAAAAGTACAGAAATAATAAAGCTCTGTAAAACTTAAAGCAAACATTTAATTCTCTCCAAATTTCAGTTGTGTTGACGAAACCCCTCAGACTTCTCTCGAGTACCCCTAAAGGTACTTCTACCACTGGTTGAGAAACACTGCTCAGGGGCATCTGGTATTGGCCATTGTTGGCAGACAGGATACTGGGCTAGATGGGCCTTTGGTCTGACCCAGTATGGCCGTTCTTATGCTCTAAGGGAGGTTTAGGTTGGACATTAGGAAAAACTTCCTGTCGGGATGGTTAAGACACTGGAATAAAATGTCTGGGGAGTGTCAAGGTATTTATTATTGGAGAGATTTAAGAGCAGATTAGACAAACACCTGTTTAGATGGTGCTTGGTCTTGTCATGAGTGCGGGAGACTGGACTTGATGATCTCTCGAGGTCCCTTCCAGTTCTAGTGTTCTATAAGTCTTTGTGTGTTAAAACACTGAGGTTACTCCTAACAACTCTATAATGAAAGGAAGATTTAAAAGGTGTCAGAGGTTGTATCGATCTCAGAATAATTATTTTGACTTCAAAAAGTTGGTCTTGATTTCTGCTAATGATATAGCCATTCTCAAACAGATTGCGTCTTAAAGTCAGCAGAAAATAAGGCTATAAAGAAAGCAAACTGATTTGTAAGTGACAAAGACCTTTTAAGAGGTGCGTCAATAGATTTAGTGAGCTGGCAGGCTTAAGAATAGGAACAAAACATGGGTAATGAGAACTGGCAGAATTCTCCTGGCCCCAGATTTCATTGCAAATCCCAGTTCACTGATGGTTTGCAAACCTGGGTGGAAAAAATGTGAAATTGATTAGTTTCATATGGTATTTGTCTGAAACCAGACAGAACTCCAATGTGACCCGAAACCGAGTGGGTGGCAGATGGATACATCTTACACAGCTCGGTGTGTGATATCTGCCAAGTCTAGTGCAAAAGTAAAATAACTTATTTGCTTACAGCAGGTGCCTAAGACTTTACTCTGTGCCCTGAGAGAGAGGATGGCCCTGCGGTGAACAGGGCAGTAAGATGTCTGGGTTCTGTTTCTGCAGGAAATCTGCTTTGGTGTGTTAAGGTGGGTCTACACTGAAACACCGCGAAAGAAGAGCCAACAACAGGAGGGCTCCAAGATTGGGTCAACTCACTCAGGCTTGCATTTTGAGGCCAAAGTTGATGATGTAGGTATTCCCGCCTCTGCCTAGAGGCCGGGCTCTGAGACTAGGATCCAGGCAGAAGGGAATATCTCTATTGCTGATTTAACCCCTATAGCATGGGCCTGACTCCATTGTCGCATGGGACGTGCTGCTGTGTCTTTCCCTTGTGTGTGTTTTCCTCATTAGTAGGGATGTTAATGGGTAACTGGTTAAACCTGGTAAGCACCTGGTAAGCCAGTTACCTGGTAAGCACCCATATTGGGTGATGCTTACTTGGTAACGGTTCCAATCCCCCACTGGACTGTCGGAAGCAGGGGCAGCCACCGTGGCAGCTCCTGCAGGGAGAAACCAGAGGCACGGGCGGCCGGTCTAGAGTAGCCCCTGCCTGCGGTGGAGATTGCTGTAGCCTGACCCTAGTGGGCAGGGAGGTTGCTCCAGCCCCACTGAAGCGGCTCCCCTCCCCACCCTCCTTTAATGGGTTAAATGTAGTGTTGGCACTACATTTAACCAGACGGGATTGTACATCCCTACTCAATAATCAGCTGTGGCTAATATCTACCTTGCCTATGGCAAGAGGCAATGTTGTTACTACAGGCAGTCCCCGAATTACGCGGATCCGACTTATGTCGGATCCGCAGCCCCGCCAGCCCCTGCCCCGGGCTTCCTGGAATCAGCCGCTGATCAGTTTCAGCAGCAGCTGACTTGGGGATGCCTTGGGTTCTTAAGCAGCGGCTGAATCTGGACGCCAGTTCCGACTTACATACAGATTCAACTTAAGAACAAACCTACAGTCCCTATCTTGTACGTAACCCGGGGACTGCCTGTATTGTAAATCTGAGCTCATTGCACAGAAGTAGTTCTTGTTGCTCATGGATAACAATACTTTGTACAAAGCCGCTAGTCTTCACAACCTATCTACTATGTCTCATGCCCCAGTGTTCCTAAGTAGGTAGTTTGATGAGCCTCCCTATTAATAGTAGGGTGGGGCTACTCAACTTTGGCATCCCCGGGGGCCACAATGATACTCACAGCACATACCGAGGGGCCACAACTTAAGTGTGGTTGCATAGACGTGTAAATATATATGCAACTAGCTTTTCACACGGACTGGCATGAATACAAAGCAATTCCCACAGTGCCCCGGCTCCTGGCACCTCCTCCCTGGGGGCTAGAAACGCCGACACCCTGTACCTGTCTGTTCCAGCCAGCCCGTCCGCTTGCATCTTTCAGTGCTCACCTCACTTGGGAGACACCTTGCTGTTATGGAACATGTTCCCAGTGGAGGCCGTCTTCAAAGGTTCCTACTCACAGGCCGCGTGATGAGCCTCATGTAAACCCAAACCACACCACAGGCCTCAAACTGGCCGCGGGTTGAGTAGCCCTGTAGTAGGGCATGTCACTGTTAAGTGAATTGTTTCAAAACAGTCTGGGGCTCTTTCCTAGTTCCAACACATGATGCATTGTTGCTATCTAGAAGCATGTTACCCTAATGGTAAGTTAGAGATGGTGAAGACCTGTAAGAGCTATTAGATTGTAGGTTTTCAATGGGAGTAGAGTTGCCTTGCCTTTGCCAAATGGGAGAGGGATCCCAAGTAAATCTTGATGTGAAAAGAGTTGAGAGCTGATACAGGAGATAAACCAGAGTAAGTACAGAGCTGTATGAAATGATAGTAGAAAGATCCCTTCTAGGGAAGGAGAGGAAATGCCAGGTTCCGCTTGAGATGCTATTAATGCGCTAGACGCTTCCACGCTGACGGATCAGCGTACAGGAAATATTCTCATGCCCATTTGTTCCTCTCTTATTCCTGATTTCCATCCTTGTAGGAGTATCTCATGATGAACCAGTGTGTCTTGGTTCTTTCTTGCAACGTCTTTAGGTC